AAAAGATCAAGAAATAAACTATTACTCTCTACTTTCTTTACAGGCAACTTAATAGAATCAGGATGTACTTCCCAATTGTAACTTCCCCTGCAGTCACTGTCCTAGGACTTCCCAGTCCTCAGGGTTAAGGGGCCCTTCAGTTGATATACTCTTAAGCACTAGCCCATATGGGTGTGATTTTTGTAGTAGTGGTGAAACCGTAAGTGAATTTCTTCTTTTGTGATTTCTGTTAATGCAGTTTGGATAATAAATGGGTCCCTTATAGGGAAAGCCTGAGGAAGTATGCTGGGCCTCTTGGATCTGAGAATTATACCATGGACTACTATCATGAACTTCCGTACTCATTTTTGGTCAAGTGGAGGTCAGAGAGAATATTAAGCACAGCAATTTTCCCATTTTAAAGAAACCATTGCCCAAGTGTTAAAAGCTGCTTGTTTTACTCACTTGTAATCACCTTTCACTACTGTTCACCTTACCACCCCCTCTACTCTGGATTCACTCCTCAACTTCCTGTTTTTGTACGATAAGCACAAGCATTATCTTACAGATCACCCCAACTCATATTTCTGATATTTCAGAATACCATTCTAACTAAGATCAAACTTAGATAAGTTGTGAGGCTCTATTTTTTTTTTATTTAATTTTTTTTGGTACTGGGGACTGAACTCGGGCACTTAACCACTAAGACACATCTCCAGCCTTATTATTATTATTAAAATTTGAGTCAGGGTCTAAGTTGCTTAGGGCCTTGCTAAATTGCTGAGGCTGGCCTCAAACTTCTAATCCTCCTGTGTCGGCCACCCAAGTCACTGGGCTCATAGGTGTGCGCCATAGCACCTGGTGTAAGGGCTGTATTTATAAAGACCTTTTTACAGCATTTCTTCTTTAGTGTGCCTTGTACATCTCTGTATCATAGAGCTCAATGAATGAGGGGGCTCAGAATAACCCACGGATCTTTAAAAAAAATTTACAAAAATTTTATCCATACAACTACTATACTATGAAAACTTATAAAGCTAGAAACTAAGGTAGGAATAACCATGCCAAAGGGCAAGAGTGTGATTTTTGTAGTACTGGTGAGGCCATAAATGAATTTCTTCATTGTGATTTCTGTTAATGCAGTTTGGATAATAAATAATAAAGTAAATAGCCTTAGTTAAATCAGTGTGGTACTGGCCTAATGAAATGAAACAGTCCAAAAACAAACCCTGGTAGAACTCAGGATGAACACAGCAGGCACCACGAGCCAGTATGCAGGAGGGTGGGGCAGATGGTTTATTCCTGAAGTACTGGTTTGCTCCTTTCCGTGTGAGCCTTACCTCATGGCATAGACACACCAAAATAAATTCCACACAGGCTGCAAAATTAGAATTGTTAAAACAAAAAGTCTAAAAAAAGTCACAGTAAATATTTCTGATTTCAGGATAGAAAATATTTTAAAATGGTGGCAAAATTATGATGAAAAGATCAATAGATTAAAGCCATAAAACTAATCTTCATGCTGGGTGCAGTGGTGCATGCCTGTAATCCCAGGGTCTCAGGAGGCTGAGACAGGAGAATCACAAGTTCAAAGCCAGCCTCAGCAATGGCGAGGCACTAAGCAATTCAGTGAGACCCTATCCCTAAATAAAAATACAAAATAGGTCTGGGGATGGAGCTCAGGGTCCAAGTGCCCTTGGGTTCAATCCCTGGCACCAAATAAATAAATAAATACTAATCTTTATAAAAACTAAAACCATATCCAAGAGGAAATAAATAGGAAAAAATAAGTCAGCAACAAATAGGACAAAGGGTTAATTAAGGTCATTATCATATAAACAGTATACTAACACAACAAGGAAAAAAAATAGAATGATGGGGCTGGGAGTGTAGCTCAGTGGAAGAGCACTTGCCTAGCACATAGGTGTGAGGCACTGGGTTCGATTCTCAGCACCACATAAAAATAAATAAATAAAATAAAGGTATTGTGTCCATATACAACTAAAAATAAAAGTTAAAAAAAAGAAAACCTATAAAAAAGGAAAAAAACAGAATGTCTAGTATATAAATAAAGAATCGTTCAGGTTCACTAGCAATCTAACAAAATTTACCTTATCAAATAAAAATAACAATGTCTTAGTTCGATCTGGTATAACAAAATATCAGATTTGATGATTTAAACAACAGACATTCCTTTCTCACAGTTCTAGACACCGGGAAATCCAAGTTCAAAGTACCAGCAGATTTACTCTTGAGGAGGGCCATATCCTGGTTTTTGCAGATGGCCATGTGTTGAAGAGAGATCATCTGTCTTTTGTGGGCACTAATCCCTAGAGGGGCCCTGCCCTCAAGACTTAATAGGCTCCACCTCCTATAACCATCACTTGGGAATCAGCCTTCAACATGAATTTGGGGAGGACACAAACATTCAGTCCACAGCACTTAGGATAAAACCGTAAGTTTTAGGCTCTCCAATTTACTGGTCAAGGCATTAACGAATAGACTTTTATAAAATAATTTGAGAACATGTATCCATTTCAGTCTTTGACCCAGCGGTTCACTTTTTTAAATCTAAGGAAATATTCATACATGTTGACAAAGATTTCTACCCAATTTTGTTCAAGAATTATTTATAATGTATCAAAAATGAAAATAACTTCAATGTTAAATATTAGGGAAACAGTCATGAAAGCATCATACACCCATGAGAAAAAAAATTAAAACACAGAAGTTATATTCATAAAGCATCTGTAACTACATGAAAAGTATTTCATGTTAGTTTTAAAAAGCAGAATATTAGCTTTACATAAAGTATTTAGACTAGATAAAGTGTATAGAAAAGTTTAGAAGAAAATGTGTCAAAATACTGACAACACTAACAGTGGTTGCCTGTGGGTGGTAGTAAAGCTGTTTTGCCTTTTGACACTTGTCTATATGTTTTCAACGTTCTACGACAACCACAGATTGTTAACACACCATGATAATCAGAAGAATACAGAACAATGAAAATAGGATTTTAAAGAATAAGAACGCTCAATGGCATATAGATAGATTACACACCAACACATAAATTATTTATATTTCAACACTAATTTACTGTTATGGAACTTAGGTCTTTAGATGCACACTTAATTAATTCAAAGAAATGATCAGGGTTTTATAGCTCTGCTGTACTGGCATTTTGTCTTCAGAAACACAAAGAAGAACTGTTGAAGAACACCAAGAAGCTACTTTACACTGGGCTTTAGTTAGTTATCTAAGACTTATCAGCTGCTATCTAGAAAACATACAGCACACATAAATTCTATCATGTGGGACAAGAGTTTGGAACAGGTGCTGATCCTCAACAGACTAGAAAACCTCAGCTCACTAAGGACCCAAGAAAATGGCAGAGAAAGCAGGACACAGTGGTGTTATGACAGGTTAGAATATGGAGGCTGGACTGTGGGGGGGAACAAAAATAGAAATCCACTTCTTTCGGATTGGAAAGAAAATAAAAATAATGCAGAATACTGGGGGAGGGGGGAGAACTAAAGAACTGCAAAGGGCAAGGAAAAAAGCTTACCACTGAATGCCAAGTAAGTTGCTTAGCCACTTCTTAAAAATAAAGGGTGGAGGAAAATCCAGTGCACAGTAGGGAATAAAAGAATATCAGAACAGGGGCTGTGGCTGATACATCAAACTGGCTAGCATGGATAGTAGTTTTGCATTAACTTCTGTAGCCCTGCCAATACAGTAACATTCGAGAAAATGTCAGCACTTGTTTAAAACAATATGTGATGAAATATTTGTTTTCTTAATGTTTAACCAACACGTTTTGCTATGTTTTTGTGTTTTGAAAAATAAAAAGGGCTACAGCATATATACAAAAACACATCACACACATTTTATCCTATTTTAAGCATCAATGTGTTTAAAACAGAACTTGAGAGTTGATTTAGGTGTTACAAATAAACTTGGGCCCATAACACTGAACAGTACTAAAATCCAACATTCTACAGGAAGCAGGACTCCCTGCCCAAAATTTTATTCTCTCTTCTATAAAGACACATAACTCGATACCTTTGGGAGGCATTAAAAAATTGATTTTAAAAAACTGTACAGATCTGTTTTGCATTGAAAAATATCTGCCCATTATAGGGACAAATACTTCACATGACAGTTCTACACTGGAGAACCAAAAGTTATTGTCTTTGGGTTGGTTCAGTTTCTCAAACTTGGTACAACCTTGAAAATTTTTGGTATGCCATACCCCACCTGTATTATTACAAACTTATTATGTTTCTATATCAACTCACTTTTTAAAAACCCAAATATCTATTTTAGGCTTGTCCTAAGCTGTAGAGAAATCAACACCTTAATGTGCCAGTAATATTTTGAATACTTGTTAAAATACTTTAACATTTAAATAAGACTGTGTCCACACACTACTTTAAAACACTGAATATGCTACAGGTGATAAGGTGTTCTACCCACTGGAAAATGTCTGATCCCAATTTTCTAACAAAGTAAACTTTGAGAAATATATCTTGGAATTATTCATAAATATTAAAATTCTGAGGTTTTGTTCCCAAGACACCTTAAAATCTCTAATCACTGAAACTGAAATTTTATAGTGCTTGGTTTGATGTACAAATAAAAGTTTTATTTGCTACACAAATAAAACTTGTAAGAAAATCATCTCCTGTGAATGAATATATCCGGTAGACAGGAGTTCCTTAAAGGCAACCAGGCTCTACACAATCTGTGACAGTGTCCCATGTGATCATTTATCCCATTTTCTTGTCAGAAGGCTTACATACTCATACCATTCTTCTATAATCTAATTTTCAAATATGTGTGTTTTCTCTCTCATAAATACACTGTGCCTACTGCATGTTTTTATAGCCCTTGCCCTTGTGTGCACCTCATGTCTCATACAGCAGGTGCTCAATAAACATTATGGAGAACAACAACAACAACAACAACAAAAATCAATACAAACCAAACCTTACCACTACAAAAAAAAAACAAAAAACATATTTATACCAAGCAAATAATGAGACCTTTATTTTTCAATTTTCCTTAAAAATGAAGACTCCACCAAACATTTCTGTCCACTCTGAGAAATGCACAATGATTAGAAAAGTGTATTTTCATAGTAATTTTTCTTTTATGTACTCTAAAACTTCATGCACACACAGACTGAGATAGCTTAAAGAGCAAACCTGAAGAATTTGGAATTTCATAAACTAATCTTTAATAAACTGTACAAGGGTTCATTTTAATTAAAAAAAGTTTGTTTTTCAAAGACATAGGTATTTACTTATTATTCCCACCCCTCAACACTCCCATGAAAATAAAACTTAAAACAGAAAAGGAGAAAAAAAAGTCAAATGAAAAGGAAAAAAAAGTTGGTTTACTGCATTTGATTTACTTCTGGACTTTCTTTCTGGTTCTTGAACCTTGAAGAGAAATCAAAGAAATTTAAATCATTAATTTATATAAGCAAAAGAACAAACGTACAAATACTTCTATCTATAGCTATTAATACTTTAAAATCTAATCGACTCTGATGATCAGTTTGTGGATGAAATCTCCACAGAAGGTACAACTCAACATCATAAAAATCTTAGAAAATTATGTTAATTCTTTTAATATGTCAAAAAATATGCTAGCAAAGTCTATCTGCATTAAGAACTCTTCTACTGGTAAAAACACATCCAACTTACATTGGTACTAAAATAGTTCTCCCCCAAATTTAAAATACTGACCCCAAATGTAAATAAACTACAGCAACAAACACCCACTTCCTAGGGGTAAGTGAGAAGGCGAAGCATGCCAGGGATTTGGGGTTTAAAGTTTCACCTGTGCTCTTTAAGTACCAGACTAGGTTAGAATAAAAACCTTTCCCACTGGGAATCAAGTGGGAATCACACGGCTCCCACCAAGTGGTCTCCTAGACAAGCATCATGTTTGATGCTGTTCAAAGTCTCCAGTGACAATCCCTGGCCCTCCACCCCAGCTGAAAGAAACAGGGCTGCTGGAGGCTTGCTGCAGCCAGGCCACACTGCCTAGTGCTGCCATTTCCTTCCCAGGCCTCCTACTTCTCCCTAAACAGAGCAATGGCACCAGAGCGAGGCACAGCCTTGCAATTCCTGATTTATCAGTGAACACTTTGAACAGCAAAGAGATCTACATTTCTTTTCTGAAAAGGACACAACATGTTCTAGTCTGGGACAAAATTTCTACCATGTATATAATAATAGTCTCTTACTATTAAAGATTTTCTTACTGTGGGTTTATTTACTTACTTAACTGGAAGATCAATTTAAAAAGTAACATGTTATTTCTGCAAGTTACAGTTTATTCAATTACCATACATTTCAATTACAGCAAACTTTAAATTTATATAAATTACCCTTTTCCTTGTCACTTAAAATACACAGTGTTTGAATTAAAAACTTGAGATTTTTTTCTTAAGTTTTTGTGATATAGCCTTCTATTAAAATTACACCACAGCAGATTTTTAGGTTTGTATTTCAAGAATTTTTAAATTAATTTTACATCAAAAATTGGAAGTATTCTGGTTGTGAGATTGACAAAATGATGTATCACAAAAATCAAGGTCAATTGATTAATCAATACAAATCAATAAAAAAATTTCCATAAATTTTGAATTTATGGGCATATTACAAAGAACAATACAGCTATATCCAAATAGCACTATTCTCATTAATGTCCTAATTTGACATTTTGCTCTTAACTATTACTGCTTACCAGCTTCGGTCTAAAGTTTCTCCCAGCAAAAAAAAAAATCAAAATGCTATTGCTAACCTGAATTTATTATGTAATTAGTATGAAGCACCTTGGAGACTCTGTTGTATTATTAATTCAACATTTTCCCTAATACTCAATTCTGATTGTTATAGAATAGTCTGTTTTCTTTTCTCTTTAAGTTAAAACATAATTGTTTTCATAATACACTATTAATGACGATAGGTCATAAGACCTGTGTAAAATCTGGTATTTGAAAAATAACATATACTAGTTTAGAATACTCTTCTATAATTGTATAATGAAGACAGTAAAAAAACAAGTGGGAAACTTCTTTGTAGGGTGCCTTTAAAAACATGTATTTCTTGACCAGTCATTCCTTCCTGAAAAAATCTCAGGAATGGATAAAAATCCATGATAATTCAAAAATAACACCAAGAGTAATCTCCATTTTATGAACAGGAGGGACATGGTATACTAGCCATAAATATCATGGTTACATTAACTAATTTTTAGTACAATTCTAAAATATTGGCATGGTTTTGAAATGCCAGAATATGCACTTTTTTTTTTAAGGTTTATCATTCTGTAAATGGGGAAAATTACTTGCAGCAAATAACCAAATTTTCTCAATTGGTAAAAATTATGCCTTGCATAAAAATAAAAGGATTAGAGGCCTCTGTTCTTCTTGAAAACCACCCCATCACCCCTCTCTTTTTCTGAGAAAGCCCCCACAATGCCCGTGCAGAAAGCTTTCAGAGTACGTTCTCACACAATGGACCCCCAGCTATTCAAAATGAGCTTAGGTGTATCAAGAAAATTATACATGTTTTTAAAATGGTCTAAATAGATATTAAAGGAAAGTTGCTCCCATTTTGCTAGGCACAGCATTCTGAAAGATCACACAGTGAGAAAAATCTCTTACCATATTGTAAACCATAAATTGTGTTTGAAAATAAAATTGTTAATGAAGAAACTGACATTTCTAAAGCTGCTGTTAGAGGTACCTATTCTTGAAACATGATTATGACACAAAATCTTAAAGCCCTAAAACACAAAATTCACTGAATTGTATTATATATTTCTTTAAATTTTTTTTTAAAAATCAAACAGACTTACTCCTTCAAGTTACATTAAACTGAGAATACACACACATGCATGTTTATTTATATGAGCCTATAACTTTTTTTTTCCTTCTTTTTGCTCAAAAGCAATCACATTTTACCATTCCAAATAATATTTCTCTTAAATGAGTATTTTTAAAGTAAAATACCTTGACTTGCACTTTAGGCGAAAAATGAATCACAATGGGAAAACTTTTTTAAAAATTAAATAAAGCAATTCAGAGTTTATATGAATAAGGGGAAATTTGATCATTTTTTATCATCTTAAGTTCTATCAAAAAATCTGAACTGTTCTCCTTAAATTATCTATGAGTCTAGTCTCTTTTCTCATTAATAAAATAAAAATATTAATATATTTTCTTACAGGAAAAACTATCAATGTGAGGACCTTACATTAAAATTTCAGGCACTAAAAACATTTTTCATATTTTACTAGAATTTAAAATCACTTATCTATCAAAACAAATACCTCTGGTGCTCATTAAGCCAAGTTCAGGTAACAATGGCCTGCAGGCGGTTAAGAGAAGCCTGAGTCTTCCCACACACAGCTGTGACTCCGCTTGCAAGCCTAAGTCTTACTGGGCAGCAGCCTTAACTAGAAAAATGCACCCTTCCTAAACCAAAAACACCAGTCTTTAAATGTAAGGGATTTTGAAAAGTAAGCATATCACCCTATCTTTATCAGTGCTCCTTAACTTGGTTCCCACTCACTGTCACAGGGGCTGCTGCTAGCCTCTAGCTGAGACAGGCTTCCATAAGTTGCTCCTTGGGGCGCCTCACTTCCTAACAACAAAATGAACAAGACAGGGGAGGAGGGAGGGAAAACAGCAAATAACAGAAAAAAGGGGGACTACTTCAAAACCTTTAGTCTCCAGAGTAAAGTTATAGACTGCCTCCTCAGATACCTCATGGTTCTCAGTTAATGCAGATATGCAGATAGGCTCTAAGCACAACATATAATAAAGAAAATGTTAAAAAAAAAGTCAATCAGGACAAAGATGACTCTCTCTGAAAGTTGAATATTTTGCTTTCCATACACAGACACCAGGGAAACTATCAAAGGGAAAAGTAAAATCCATCACTGCCTTAAGTCAATGGGACATTTATACTATAATGAATTTTTTTACCAAAAATAAGCCTTTGCATTAGAAATCAAGAAACAGTCCAGAATCAACAAATAATAAAAAGGTAATGAGATAGGAGAGAAATCTTGAAAAAAAAGTTTTTCTGGGCAGAACTGACTCTCTTCCTCCCTTACTCAGGCAAACATCTCTCCTGAAACCTGGAGCACACTGACTGCACATGTGAGACAAAGTCCACTGAGTCCTGCCCTTGCATATGCTGCTCTGCTAATGTCATTTCTGGAGGTACTCCATTATCAGAAGTGCCTTCAGCCCAGTTTATCAGCCACCTAAGAAATGACTTCAGACCTTGCCTTTCGCCTCAAGGGCTTTGAAAGCTGACAATGTAATGCTTCTTCCTTGCCTCCTAACTTGAGAGAGAATTGGCAGGCTTCATGGGGACTAACCAGGCAACTCAGCAAGAAGTTTGCAAGTGTGCTAAGCCGTACTGACTCCTGACCTTCACTTTTCTCTCCAGGTATGTGGATCAGTGGGAGGGAGTGGAAGTTACTGGTCAGAGAGTTAAGAGTTCTGGCCTCTACCTCCTGCCATTTCACAACAGTTCTGCCATTTAATTGCTTGGTGCCAACTCCCAGTCCCAACTTTATGACCAATGTTAAGAATAAATAAGACAATGTGTGCATAGAAGACATTGTGATACGTGCTATGCAAATATAAGATTCATATATTTTGTAATAAAATCAAAATGTATATAACCCAAATAACGCATCTTTGTGCCTAATATAGAAGGTATGCAAAACTGTTCAACTTACGGGTTTGTGTGGCCTCCTCTGTCTGTATATTTGAGCATTCCATATCTTCAACACTAGATTCGGTGCTTTCCTCTATTTCTTTCTTTCTCTTCTTACATATAAAAATAGAGAGATGCAGTCTGATTAACTAACTAGTAAATATACAAACCTATCATAAATTAGTAATTAGTATTTACATGAATGTATATCAGTGTGGCTGTGTCAAAACATATGGGAAGAATCTTTATAATTTCAGGGTAGTTATTACTTAAGAGAAGGAATGGGAAGTGGAACAAAAGGGGAGTAAGAGAACTTCCGGCTACACAGTCTGGATGATGGGCATATTTGTTCTATCCACCTCAAAGTTTTCATATTTAATATAGTTCACCGTTGAAAGCTATGTTTGACCATCAGGATGATCAAAGAAACTCACTTTCAAAATGAAACGTTTTACAAATTTGCTGTCACCACTCAGGCCAATGATAGTCATGCTTCTCACTTTCAGATGTGGCAGGGGTGGGGGCTGGAAGGGGAAGGGTAGCTACTTGAAAAATGGAAGAATACACACCTTACCTCACATATTGTGTCAGTGGTTACACAACACCAATACTGGTGATAAAATCATACTCATGAATCAATAATGACAAACTTCTAATAAATTCTCTTTTTTAGAATACTTTTTTAATAAAAGTTTAAATATGAAGGTCCTAACCTTTACTGTGAATGAACAACCTTAAAAGTATGAAGCTTTCCTAAACTTTCAAAAACCACTATTCATCTTCCAGGTTGGGTGTTACCATCCATTCTTCCCAAATATTCATCCAATTTCCTCTTATTACATTCTATCATTAAAACATTTTTAGCTAATCCAGTCCTATGTCAAGTTTTTAAGTTACTTAATATCTCTCTATATAATTAACAAGGGACATTTGTCATGAGTATAAAATGTATTTTTTATAACTTTGTCCCATGTAGTTTCAAATTTAAATGGGTAAAAATCCAAATTTTAATTCAGAGTTTCTGTAGGTTACTTAAAATAAGTTTGTACCATTTAGGAAATTATCTGATATGTCCCAAATTTCAGAGAATCACGATGCACCAGAATGTCCTCACTTATATTTCCTAACAATTAATATGAAGTTAGACTCCATCTCAGAGCTTTCCTTGCTGCGGGCCATTTTGTATATCGCTATAAAACAAGATAATACCTGCTGACAGCACATTGTTCTGTCTCCTAATGGCAACAGTGGGTTCTTTTCCACAGAGAACTACATGAGAAAGCTGAACTCTATTCAAGCTACATCATCTTAAACCCCACAAATGGTCAGAACTGTTATTATCTAGGTATTACAATTAATCCCACTGTTTCAAAACATGCTTAAGGTGGCTGTGGGAAAAGATCAGAACTCAGAGACACCCACCATGTCCCTAAAGAAAATTCTTCACAGATACAAAAACAACAACTTGACTAATCTTAAACTTTAAAAGGCATTCATTTAGCCGATTTGTATATGGAGGTATTGTTTCTCAAAAATAGCTCTAAGAGTGGCTATAACTTCACATAACTGATGAGAGAAGGAGAGAGTGCCTTACATCTTTCTTTTCCAAAGTGTTGCTTCATGATTACCATCTAAACCCTGCTGGGCTGAACAGATTGGTTCGATAATTACATACAATAACTGCAGTGGGCAGGTAACCCTCGGCTGGCACAGGGCAGCTCCCCCGTGAGAACTTCCATATGCAAGCTGCACTGATGGAGTGCATTAGGTGCATCCTGCCTGCCGGTGCACAGGCCTGATTAACGCCAGCCAAGACTCCAAGGTTAGCATGTCAGCAGATTTGTGATGCATTAGGCAGGAATAAACACAGACACTTTTGTTCGTTCAGACCAAAATTAAGGAGGAATATTTCAGTACTATATTGCTTTCCACACAAGAGAGAATGCATTTTCCAGTTTGGGGAGGGCAGATTTTTAAATACTCATTATAAAGGGAGCTATCCAATATTTTCTACCCAAGAACCTAGAGCATTCATCTTATTTTCAAGCTTATTTAATAAAAAGGAGCTTTCTTAATCTCCATGCAGGTAAATTACATAGGAATGAAAATCAGACAGTATTCAACTAACAAAAGAAATACCTGTGCTTCAAGACTGGATCTACATTTTGGCCAGGTATCGCCTGCCCAACTTTTCTGATAACATATGTAACTGTGATAGCAAGGACCAATGGTCAAAGACCAACGGAAAAGGCCAAAGTTCTTCAAGTTTAATAGTATTTAAGTATGTTATTCATTTTATAAGGCGATGAGTAAAATTCCAAAAACTTGCTGTAGGCTTTCTTCCGAGTATCTCCAAATGCCTCCTTTCATGATGTGTCACCATGCTTAGGTTTCCAGAATCACTTATAAAATACACTCAGAATAGGGTATTTTGGGAATATCATATCGTTAAAATTAGGTTTATTTCAAAGGGCATTAATATACATATTACACATTACATTCCTGAGTATACAAATATTCTAGGTTAAAATTTAGTTAATTAGGAGCTTCTCACTTCCCATTTAGAAAAAGGAAGAGAAACCAGCTAAATAAATTTAGACTGATAATGTACTGATGGTCTCAACACTGACTGGAGACCAATAAATCTGTTTCAATGGAAAAAAAGAACAAAAATCTTCAAAAACAAACCCCCAGACCAATTCTCTGCTTCCCAAGTCAAGCACCAAAAGATTACCTCCAAATGCTCTTGGTAGTCTCTAGGAAAAGTCTATCAGACGCACAGCAACATCCAAAGGAGACTTGAGTGCCCTGGCAGTGTTATTGGGATTCCCCTCCCCTTATTCCAAAATCATACATATTTATTTTTATAACAGAATTGACAACCTAATATTTATAAATGTTTGGTATTGCACATGTGTTAAAGAACTCTGAATATAAATTATGTGACTGCTCTAATTATTTAATCTTATTTGATTAAGTCCATTTGAAGTCATCATGCAAATATAGACAATTTACAAATTATTACTATATTCCTTAATAATAACTAAAAATAGGATATTCATTGCCCAAAAGTATCTGAAAACAATGAAAGGGAAAGCAAATCCATGATTTAAAACACAATATTTACAAACTAGAAGATTTAGTTAAAATCCACGGGACAGACAGGAAAAACTGGGGAAAGAAGAAAGCCAGAGGAAATTTGCTCAGAGTTTCTCAGTTGGCGGTGGCAAAAAGACTAGAACTCAGAGCTCCCTATCCTTTCCACAGAGCTATGCTGCCTCCCTATGTGACTTTTTAGTATGGAGCAGCAGTTTCCCATTGTTGTGACTTCGATGCATTTTTTCCAAACAGGTACAGTGCACAGATGTGTGTACTTCTTGATGATCTTCACACCCCTCTGTAGAATCTTCCTCCTATGTATGGCTCTTCTTGGGAAAGGACTGTTTTGCTCATTTTTCTAATCCTTGCTGAACTTAGCACAGGTTTCATACATAAATATCCATGGATGTTTACCCACAGAGCAACTAGTCAACTAGTGTTTTAATAAAGAGATGATTTCAATATCTTACCCTGAATCTCACAAAAACTGTTATTATTTGAATGAACATTAAATAATTACAGATATGTTGTAAGAAATGCATGGAAAGATTAAATATAAGATATAAAAAGATGCTAAGCAGGTTAGGAAATAAGTGACTTATAAAGAAGAACATGTGAATTTGAAGAATAATCTAAACATATTTTGCTAGAAAACATTGAAGTGCTTTGCTCTTTTAAATGAGCTCAGTGATGAAGACTGAAATATTAAAAATTTTCTTCCAAAATAGTACTGATCTCCTTCTGAACACAGGCAAAGAGTACAATGTAATCCCACTTACATAAAATTTCATTCTGTGAGTATTGATCCATGTGTAAATGGACCCATACATGGCTTCATAGTCAACCCTTGATTTTGTTTGTTTCATTTGTTGTTTGTTTACATTTAGATCTTTTTCCTGTCAACACTTTTAGTTATCTACTCTGGAGGTGGGAAAAGAAAATGTAACTCAAGTAATGTGCTAACTATTAGCAGTTCTGGGGAAAAGAGTTTAGTACTTGAACTAATAAAGAAAGTTGATATTCTAAACTTTGTTATAAGTTTAGAATATCAACTTTCTTTATTAGTTCACACTATCTCACTCTTTAATACCATGAAGAATTTACTATAATTATCTGAAAATTGTACACCCAAAATTACCACTAATCCATATGAGAGCAGCTAAAAATACAGATGCATTTGTAAAGTCTGTCAGAACAAGTAAATGAGAAGACACATGGGTGGCTGTCGCACTGCCTGGTCCCTCTGCCTGGTCCCTCCATGGATGAAACACTGGTTAGCAGGAGACTGTTTTCACACGCAGTCATAACTTGCCTACCTCTTCTCTTAAGGCCTACTGTATTCCTTTAGTTTGGCCAACTGATAGAGAAAGCTGCTTCAGAGCCTCCGGCACTTGTTCTGGTGTTAAGGAGCACAAAAGCTGAGAAAATACCATGCCTCGATTGCATGACCTACGGAAGAGTGCCAGGCAGCAGAATGTACTCTCATCAAAATTTCATATAACAGCAACCACAACCTAGAAAGATCTTACAGCAGCACTTCTGAAACCAGTAAATCCAACTTATTGGCAACAATGGCCTTTTCACATCACAAGGACCATGCAACTTCAACATGAGCAAACTTATGGTAGTTTAACAAGCTAAAAGATGTTTCCAGAGATTCAATGAATCAAGCTCTAGAAGACTAATTTGTCAGAATCAACAGGACATCTATTCGTCACACCACTGATGACAAAAACTTTGAGTGAAATTAAGATGTTTTAAGGACAATTTATGGAGAAAGGCAAATGGGTAGCTAGCATGTCTTCATTACCTTTAGGATTATGCTTAAAACCAAGTACTTTAAAAGAGATGGGGGTAGGGTAGATTTTTAAGTACCTTGAGTTTCTATGACCCCCCAAAATAATGCTCTATGAATATATATGAATGTATAGTAATATTGCATGACCCAGGGCAAGTCACTTGGCCTCTTCTGAGACTTAGCTTCATCATTCTGAATGGGTGTGTCTCATGTGAA